CATGTGTTCAGGGCGGGACTCTCATCCTACATGTACAGTTTGGTCCAGATGTGAGCATGTACACTGAAGTTACGACAACTTCCGTGTCATGGCGAAGAGCTGATCTTTGACGCCACGCCACGGACACGCCCATTGACGAAAACTTGCAAATAGCACAACTTTTCATCTTCAATGCCTTTAGAAGGCACAGCAAAATTTGAGGTCGGTCGGACTAAATCCCTAGGAGGAGTTCGTTAAAGTACGAAGTGTGTAAATCATCCAAAATTTGACGTAAAATTCAAAATGGCCGACTTCCTGTTGGGTTTAGGCTATGGCTCCAAGAGACTTTTTTGTGCGTCTGGACAAGATACACGTACCACAGAAAATTCGTGCACGTAGGTGAAACGTGCGGCGGGGGCTGCTTCGTTAAAGGTCACTTTCTGTTGCCAGCAGGTGGCGCTATGACTGTGGGTGAATGTCGCATGTACATGTGTTCAGGGCGGGACTCTCATCCTACATGTACAGTTTGGTCCAGATGTGAGCATGTACACTGAAGTTACGACAACTTCCTGTTTCATGGCGAATCATCGACGCCACGGACACGCCCATTGACGAAAACTGCAAATAGCACAACTTTTCATCTTCAATGCCTTTAGAAGGCACAGCACAAATTTGAGGTCGATCCGACTAAATCCCTAGGAGGAGTTCGTTAAAGTACGAAGTGTGTAAATCATCCAAAATGGTAAAATTCAAAATGGCCGACTTCCTGTTTTTAGGCTATGGCTTGAGGCTTTTTTGTGCGTCTGGACGATACACGTCCCCAGAAAATTCGTGCACGTAGGTGAAACGTGCGGCGGGGGCTGCTTCGTTAAAGGTCACTTTCTGTTGCCAGCAGGTGGCGCTATGACTGTGGGTGAATGTCGGCATGTACATGTGTTCAGGGCGGGACTCTCATCCTACATGTACAGTTTGGTCCAGATGTGAGCATGTACACTGAAGTTACAACAACTTCCTGTTTCATTGCGAATCATCGACGCCACGGACACGCCCATTGACGAAAACGCGCAAATAGCACAACTTTTCATCGTCAATGCCTTTAGAAGGCACAGCAGAAATTTGACGTCGATCCGACTAAATCCCTAGGAGGAGTTCGTTAAAGTACGAAGTGTGTAAATCATCCAAAAATGGCCGTAAAATTCAAAATGGCCGACTTCCTGTTGACTTTAGGCTATGGGTTCTTGAGGCTTTTTTGTGCGTCTTGATACGATACATGTCCCCAGAAAATTTCGTACATGTAGGTTGAACGTGAACGAGGGGCTAATCATTTCCAATTTTCTAGGTGGCGCTAGCGAGTCATTTTGCCACGCCCATGTGCGAAACTTGTAGAATACGAAATTTTTCACCGGTTCTGACATGTTTGCAAATTTTGGTGAGTTTTCGAGTATGTTTAGGCCATGTCATTTGGGCCTACTTTGCAGAAAAAAAAAAAAAAAAAAAAAAAAAAAAAATCCGAGAAATTCAATAGGGACCTCGCACGGTCGTGCTCGGGCCCTAATTAAAGCTGCAAGCAGCGTTGGGCGGGTCCTCGCACTTGTAAGCGCGTCCGCGTGTGAGCCGGCCGAGTTGCATTCTGGAGCTCTGCCGGCGCGGCTGTGAATTTCCTACACGGTTCCGACGCCGCATGAAGGTGCTATATGTCACTTCCTGTGTCCCCTATGTGGAGCTACATAGCACTTGCCGCTATGAATATAAATCGGTATTGGCGTGTAGATGTCTGCGGGGTGGAGAGTTATCAAGCACGTAAAGTTTGTTTCAGATGTGACCATGTACACTGAACAATAATGTACCCAAACAATAAAATAAATTCCTTTTATATTTCCCTGCCTTGTTGTTTATGTGTACATACAGAGGAAGAATGTGAGAACAGCACACATTTCATCGTTACTGTGTTTCTGCTCCAGCCTGCCTAAAAGAAAAGCGTTTTTGGGATTAAATGGACTTTATTAGCTGCTGCAGTGCAGGATGAACTCAGAACAGACCCATTTCTCACCTTATTATTCTAAATCATGCAACGAAGAAGAAGAAATGCATAATAAATCCTGGGACAAAATCTGTCCACAAATACTGTACAGCATGTAGTCTAATGAACAAGACTTGTGTTATAGCTGACTTGGGCAGTGAAATGTTTAATTTTTTTAATTCATGTGGTCATAGTTGTCCACAACTCAAATCAGAATATAAGAAGAAATGTTTTATACCACCTCAAGAAGGCTTCCTATCAGAAAGGTAGGAAGGTATTTCAAATGTACAACTGCAGTACTTAAATCTAAGTAAAGTAATTTCCCTGACATTACTGTGTTACGCATGTAACAGGTTTTATACTTCCTGTGAGTATAATCCAATCAATCTTATTTTCATACTGTATATCCGTTGTGTAATTTGATAAATTGTGTTGTATGTGTGCTCGCATCGGGTACTACTGAGACTTCATTGTCCTCTTCAAAGAAGACTCTGACTGCAACATGCGTCTTTGTAAAGAGAGAAACGGACAGAAAAAGTCTCTAACTCTGCCTGTCAGCTCGCTCTGCTCCGTTAAAACTGAATTTACCATACAGAATTGAATACGAGTGCACTCCAGATTTAGCTGCAGCCAGCTGACCGTGTGCTTCTCCCTATACCGCAGTTCTGTGTCCATGCATGCAGCAAACTGAAAGCACTGTCTGTCGGTGCTCTACGTGAAAAGAGAAGGAAGACATTGCTGGTAGTATTGTCTTCAGAGTTGTTAAACACCTCAGCGCACTGAAGGAAGCCATCTGACTGTGTGAGGGGCAAGATCGTTGATGTCTGCAGGCAGAGTAGGAGCTCTCCTGTCTGACTGGTCCACCAATAGCAGAGAAGATGACCCCTTGAGACACAGCCCCTCCTCATTTGCATAATGAGGCAGAAATGCATACAAAAATTTAAAAAGACAGGCAGAAATAAATACCATGGGTGAAAATAAATAAGGTAAATAAACACAAAGGAAGAATAAAACAGACAAAAATATTAAAACACACATAAATAAATACATTAAAAAAATTAGTAATAAATAAAGTTGAATAAACAAATAAGGTAATTATAACAAAGGTGAATAAGTAAAGGCACTAATTAAATATAAACATTTATGTCTCCTTGTATAATTTAATTACTACCTACATTTATTTATTTACTTTATTTTTTTGTGTATTTAATTGGATGCTTATTTATTTATTGAGCATTTATTTATTTCTGTATTTATTTCTGGCTGTGTCAGGATCGGTCCTCCATAACGGGGTGGGAGAGTTATCAAGCACGTAAAGTTTGGTTAAGATGTGAGCATGTACACTGAAGTTACAACAACTTCCTGTGTCATGGCGAAGAGCTGATCTTGACGCCACGCCACGGACACACCCATTGACGAAAACTCGCAAATAGCACAACTTTTCATCTTCAATGCCTTTAGAAGGCACAGCACAAATTTGAAGTCGGTCGGACTAAATCCCTAGGAGGAGTTCGTTAAAGTACGAAGTGTGTAAATCATCCAAAATTTGACGTAAAATTCAAATGGCCGACTTCCTGTTGGGTTTAGGCTATGGCTCCAAGAGACTTTTTTGTGCGTCTGGACAAGATACACGTACCACAGAAAATTCGTGCACATAGGTGAAACGTGCGGCGGGGGCTGCTTCGTTAAAAGTCACTTCCTGTTGCCAGCAGGTGGCGCTATGACTGTGGGTGAATGTCAGCATGTACATGTGTTCAGGCGGGACTCTCATCCTACATGTACAGTTTGGTCCAGATGTGAGCATGTACACTGAAGCTATGACAACTTCCGTGTCATGGCGAAGAGTTGATCTTTGACGCCACGCCACGGACACGCCCATTGACGAAAACTTGCAAATAGCACAACTTTTCATCTTCAATGCCTTTAGAAGGCACAGCTGAAATTTGAGGTCGGTCGGACTAAATCCCTAGGAGGAGTTCGTTAAAGTACGAAGTGTGTAAATCATCCAAAATTTGACGTAAAATTCAAAATGGCCGACTTCCTGTTGATTTTAGGCTATGGCTCCAAGAGGCTTTTTTGTGCGTCTGGACAAGATACACGTACCACAGAAAATTCGTGCACGTAGGTGAAACGTGCGGCGGGGGCTGCTTCGTTAAAGGTCACTTTCTGTTGCCAGCAGGTGGCGCTATGACTGTGGGTGAATGTCAGCATGTACATGTGTTCAGGGCGGGACTCTCATCCTACATGTACAGTTTGGTCCAGATGTGAGCATGTACACTGAAGTTACAACAACTTCCTGTTTCATTGCGAATCATCGACGCCACGGACACGCCCATTGACGAAAACGCGCAAATAGCACAACTTTTCATCTTCAATGCCTTTAGAAGGCGCAGCAGAAATTTGACGTCGATCCGACTAAATCCCTAGGAGGAGTTCGTTAAAGTACGAAGTATGTAAATCATCCAAAAATGGCCATAAAATTCAAAATGGCCGACTTCCTGTTGACTTTACGCTATGGGTTCTTGAGGCTTTTTTGTGCGTCTTGACATGATACATGTCCCCAGAAAATTTCGTAGATGTAGGTTGAACGTGAACGAGGGCTAATTTTTTCCAATTTTCTAGGTGGCGCTAGCGAGTCATTTTGCAACGCCCATGTGCGAAATTTGTAGAATACGAAATTTTTCACCGGTTCTGACATGTTTGCAAATTTGGTGAGTTTTCGAGAATGTTTAGGCCATGTCAGTTGAGCCTACTTTGCAGAAAAAGAAAATAAAAATAAAAAAATAAAAAAAAATAATAATCCGAGCAAATTCAATAGGGACCTCACACGGTCGTGCTCGGGCCCTAATAATCTGAGCAAATTCAATAGGGACCTCACACGGTCGTGCTCGGGCCCTAAAAAAATAATAAATAAATAAATAATAATAATCCGAGCAAATTCAATAGGGACCTCACACGGTCGTGCTCGGGCCCTAATAATATACAATAACTCATACAGGACACATGCAATGATAGTAAGCTATAAAAGTTAATAAATACAATAGATGAGTCACAAAACACGCAAAATGGTACTGAACAGATCAGATTCACTCCTTTGAACCTCATCTCTAATGATGCTGTGCTGGTGATACAATATCTCAGGAAACAATAAAATACACTAATGTGCTCCCCTAACCTTTCTCTGAACTTTGATTTAACATTTAGATGTGAAAGAACATACAATCCCCTCATGGTCACTGAAATATGTTGGCAACACTGTTGATTCTACATTATAATGTGTTGTTTTAACATACACATGATCAATTAAAGTGCCTTTCTCTGTTGTGGATTGTGAGACATTTTGGGCAAACCCTTTGTTGGTCATAAACTTGCAGATAGTTGAAGAGTTTAAAATATATCATTGAAATCTCCCATGATAGCAATTGTGTTACTTATTGGATTTAACCAATCAAGTAACTTGCCCAGATTTTCTTTGAACAAAGACAAGGGATACGGTGGTGGACGATAAATAACTGCTATCAATATATTATATGTAGTGCAGTTATAAACCAAACATTCTAAATTCACATGTGGTGTCTCGATAACATTATATGCCAAATTGTTTGCACTGTACATGCCAACTCCACCATGTTGTTGGCCTTGTATTTCAAGCAATGTTGGGTTGCTGCTACTGTATGATAAATTTCGGGGCTGACTATGAAAACTATAACCATCAATGTTTACAGTTTCAAAGGAGGAAACTGCAGGCAGCCATGTTTCTGTAACAGCTATACAGTTAAGCTGCAAATGCTGTGTACACAATGCTAAATGTGCTACATGTCGTCTTAAATTTTGAACATTCATCAAAAATACAGTGAAGGTTTGTGTATTGAATTTGTGCTTTGTGGTCCTTTCGACCAAGAAGGGAGGCATGTTTTCAATTGCATCTTTAATGTTATCTTTACAATATATGGCCTTCTCATCAAAGTCCTGAATAATTAAACCTGACAAACTCTTAACGCGACTTAATGCCACATATGCCTGCCCAGGTGCAAATATTCTTTTAAGGCACACTACAGCTTCATCTACACTAAGTCCTTGTACTTTGTGCACTGTACAAGCCCAAGCCAGTTTTAGTGGAAATTGTCGTCGCAATCCACCTTTATTTGTAACCCTTTCCTCTTCTGGTTCAATACCTGTAGCACCTATAGCAACTGCTGAAGAATCTGCACAGCATTTCCTCCTCTGTGCACCAATTTGACTGTCATCAAATTTGATAAACACAGTTTGAGGAAATTTGTTATTGTACTCGCGATAAACTATATGCGTGACTGTACCACATACCCCATTAACCAGACCATCATTCACATCTACATTTTTTATTAACATTACACGCGCATCTTTTCCCAAAAGCAGCATTTCATCCAAACATGTGTTATATGTTTTGGCATGATGTCCCTTCATTAATTCTAACTTGCCTGTTTTCTTACTGTTAACAAAATCCTGCGCATCTACCCGAACATAATCAGGACAAGTCTTAAAGAGTTGATCCACATTATGCTCATTTACTTGTTTATTGGAGGGAAATATGTGTAAAGCTGAGCTGAGTTCACCGGTTTCACAACGTTTTAATGTTTCAGCGTCGCTGTCTAGCATCGGGATCCCTTTTGAACGAGTTCTTACTCTGTTCAACAACTGGGCAAATACTTCATCTTTTTGCCGAACAATAGTTTTTAATTGCACAACCTTAAATAGACTAGCCCACAAATCAACACCTACATCATGTACATACAGCGGTTTCCCTTTAACTGGAGGCAACTGGAAAAAATCTCCAACAGCAATTACACTGACATTTCCAAACGGGGAATAGTCACCAGATTGCTTGATCTGTCGTAATCTTCCATGGACATAAACTAGCAGTTTATGATCTACCATGGAGATTTCATCAATTATCAAAATCTGCAAGCTATTATATTTAGCACGTAAAGAATTAAGCTTTTCTTCACCCAAAGGCGTGTACGGTAAGCGTACATCTTTCCCAATGCTAAATGCGCGGTGAATGGTAGCTGCATGTAAATTGTACGCAGCTATCCCCGTAGGAGCAGTTAACAAAACACAAATGTCGTCTGGATTACGACACACTGTCGACAGCAGCCTTGTTGCCTCGTACTGAATAGCCTTGATTAAATGGCTCTTACCTGTCCCTGCACCACCTGTAATGAAAACATGTAATGGTTCTGGCTGTTTCCCCCTTACAGTCTCTAAGCACCACTGTCTAATCTGAAAAAAAATACACATCTGGGTCTCATTCAGAGAGTGAAGTAACGCCAAACCGTCACTTCTGCTCATGGTGTTACTTTTCTTTTCTAAATGTGAAACTTGTTCTCTGGTCACTCCTAAATCAGGAATACTGTCTACATGTTCTTCCACTATCTGTTCTGTGTCTCTACGTTCTTCTTGACACTCTAAGCGCTCCAATTCTTGCTCTGGGCACAGCTCGCACCAGGCATCTTCAATAACACCATCACTACCAATTGCATTTTGGATATTGTCCAATTCCTCTGCTTCTATTTCAAATTTCCTTCTATTTAAATCAACAACTGACTTGACCAGATGTAGACATCCATCACCTAACCTCACCGCACCACTACCGTAAAACTGCTCATATGTCTCAAAACCTGCTGGTTTCAGCTGTACATCTTTACGATAGGGCAAAAACAACTGCAGAATGCTCTGATGAAACAATTCTGGATTCTTTGTCTCAGAAAAGCGAACATAACGAACAACTGCTGGTTGTGTGCGTGTTCTTTTTAAAATAAAACCACAGTCACCGTTTAGTTTAATCCTATTCTTTGACATTTCATTTTTAGACAGAACACGGTACTCTGACGCAAATGTTGCCATGCACATGTCATTAAAAGTAGTATCTTTTGGCCTGTTCTTATATCTATCGACACAACTAGTCATCCACATATCTTCTGTGGTAAGATCATGTGATGATGCCTTTTGTTTTAACACACTTAAAGGCAGACTCATTTTAACAATGTTATCACCTACTGGCACAAATACAACCTTCCTTGAACACTCCTTCAGATGTAGATTTGTTAACCTGTAAACAGCCTCTTGAGCACACACATCTCTATTGTGTAAATACACACTCCCTAACTTTTTCAAGGCATCTTTTGCACTAGCATTTCCTTCCTTAGCTGCTTCCCGTTGTGCATTTCCTAACAACAATCCCATTTCTCTTTCTGCTTTAGAAATATAAGAAATGATATACACTACACATGCATAGGCATCAACAACATATTGGATGTCCATATTTGCATTCCAGCACTTTAACAGTGGTTTGCTGTATTGATTAATCCAGACTTCATTTGCCTGCCTCTTCAGCACGACATGTGTGTTCCTACCACAGCGATTATATGCTTCTTCAAAAAGTGCTTGATTTATACCTAAATGTTTAAACAACTGCTCCACAGTGTCATATCTAGCATCCTCGTCTGAAAGAGCCTCCTTAATAGCAGTCATGACGTTCACTGCATACTCTTTTTTCATCCTATCAGGTTTTGTCTGTCCCTGATTCTTGCATGTACAATGCTCCAACCTACACGTACATGTTTCTTTGTCATCGTCTTCACTAACACTACGAGATATAAATGTTCTTGCCGATGGCGGCCTGGGAAAATTAAAACGACAAACAGTTTTCTTCTTTTTACAGGTTTTTGAATGCCGCTTTGAATGCTGTTGCACAGATGTAACAATGTCAACCAATGCGTCATCTTGGGCCGGTAATTCACACGTAACGTACTGGTCAATAAATTCAACCACCTCCGCATCTGTATGTCTATCAATTAATGGGGCATTCTCAATCCAAAACAGGCAATGGACATGTGGTGAACCACGTTGCTGGAATTCCACCCTATAAAAGTAGTCCTTTATTTTGCCTATTGGATGAGATGGAGACATCAGTACCTCCTTCAAAAAACAATGCCAGCGAAAATCAAACATTCTAGCCGCAGTGACAGGATTGCGACGTAAAAGGTCACATCTGTCTGCCCATTCTAAATCTTCTACAGTCTCTGTTCTACCTTCCTGTTTCAAAATACTATAAAGAAGGTTTTTCCACCGCATATCAGCAGAGGAAAATGAGCAGAACCACGTAGGGACACCGAGCTGACGAACACAAGCCAACAGGTCACGCTGGGCTCCCTGCCAAAAAGATGGTGTACCTCTAATAGGTTTAAGAAAACGATAACCATCATCAAATTCCAACAGCTTCTTTAAAGATCCCTCATTGGTCAAAACATCCCCACTGACTTTCTGAGATTTAGCACCTCCTTTTCCTTTCCGTAAAGCTATAGATACATTTGACACAACCTGTTCAACCTCAGACATGTACTGGGCAAAAAAGATATATTCAACATTTTGTGCAAATCTACCATCAGCATGTAAAATCCTGTTATTAAAATAACGTGACAATGTCAAGCGATGCTGTCTATCATCATGATATGTAGACAGCCAGAAACAACACCGGGAAGCATTTGGCCTCATTAGCAGGATCAGAGAGCAATCTCACAGGAGAGTTTCCTTCTGCAGGTGCCACATTCAATATATGATCAAAATATTGATCCAGCACTTCCTGACCAATATCAACAGGCATGAGACAGGTGTCCTGAAACATGCAATGCTGCTGTCTATCATGTAGAAGCTCATCATCCACATTATCAGGAGATGTTTCAACACTGTCTACATTAGAATCCCTGGCCTTTTCTATCGCATCACTATCCGCTTCCCTACAAAACTCATTTAACCACTCTTCATTAAACTCTACATCTTTATAATGCACATTGGTCTCTTTTAAATACTGTAGTGCCTGCCTTATGTGCATAGTGTCAACATACTGATACTCATAATGTCCTTTATATGTTAACTTGCGTTTCAATTTCACAGGCAACAAAGAGCCTTCCATGGTAGAACGTGGCAGCAAATTATTAGTTTGTACTATATTTGCTGGAACACATGTAACTGGCCCATGTACTCCATTTTGCCCACCTTTAGGTAATGGCAACATCTTCATGAATGGAATATGTAACGCAATCAAATGTTGTTCTAAACTACCCAAACACGCCAATACTCTTGGAATAGGAAGAACTTGTTTTGTGCACATTCAGGGGGAACCTCACCTCTATTTAACTTGTAATGACACGTATAACAGATATGCAGCTGGCCTCGAGGCGTATCTAACCACTGACATGGCATTGCACACTCCTGATTACATTTGTGTAAATATTCTTCACTAATACATGCATCTGCAACTGAAGTGATAGCCGTCTTCTTACTATAATACTGTCTTTTACAATTTAAAACCTGATGTCTAAACAGCAGCCTTTGACAGACGCAACATACAAAATCTGGCCCATCTTTCACTTTATCCAAAAACTGCTTCATTACAAAATCAAACTGCTGTGACCTCTCTTTCATTTCCAGCTTCTTTAGTTTGTTACCTGCTAAAACACGCTTTTTATGCTGAGCATTTCCATGATACTGCCTTTTACTTCTTTCTTTAACCCTCTGCCTAAACACAACACTTTCATGATAATTCTTCTTAGTCTTTCCAATAACCTTCTCCCTATACAGCTTGTCTTTATGATACCTACTCTTAATCCTTCCAATAACCTTCTCCCTATACAGCTTGTCTTTATGATACCTACTCTTAATCCTTCCAATAACCTTCTCCCTATACGACTTCTCTTGATGATACTTACTCTTAATCCTTCCTATAACCTTTTCCCTATACGGCTTCTCTTTATGATACTTACTCTTAATCCTTCCAATAACCTTCTCCCTATACGGCTTCTCTTGATGATACTTACTCTTAATCCTTCCAATAACCTTCTCCCTATACTGCTTCTCTTTATGATACTTACTCTTAATCCTTCCAATAACCTTCTCCCTATACGGCTTCTCTTGATGATACTTACTCTTAATCCTTCCAATAACCTTCTCCCTATACGGCTTCTCTTGATGATACTTACTCTTAATCCTTCCAATAACCTTCTCCCTATACGGCTTCTCTTGATGATACTTACTCTTAATCCTTCCAATAACCTTCTCCCTATACGGCTTCTCTTTATGATACCTACTCTTAATCCTTCCAATAACCTTCTCCCTATACGGCTTCTCTTGATGATACTTACTCTTAATCCTTCCAATAACCTTCTCCCTATACTGCTTCTCTTTATGATACTTACTCTTAATCCTTCCAATAACCTTCTCCCTATACGGCTTCTCTTGATGATACTTACTCTTAATCCTTCCAATAACCTTCTCCCTATGCTCCTGATAAATCATTTTCATTTGGAATCTCTTTTTCTTTAGCAAATACGTAGAATACGATTATTAACTTTTGCTGTACTCTGTGTCTGGACCTCCGACTTACTGCTACAACTACTTTGAGCTCTACCTGCCTGCCTGCCTGCCTCTA